GCTTCCTTAACCGCTAAGTCACCACTGCCCCTTTAATAAAAAACTATTATTTATATTTATTAAGGCAATGTTACTGCAGCTCTGTTATTTTATAAGCCTAGTTAAACATAATTACTAAAAACTAATTACTGCTACTAAAGTTTTACTAAAACAGCCACTACTAAGCTACTATAAAATGTAAAAAGTTTGAACAATGCTGGTAAAGCTATACGCGTGGGGACTTCTTTCGAACATGAAATGAACTTTGTCCTCTACAACCCATCCCCTTGCTTGCTCAAAACACAACAACGAAGGTGGGATTTGAACCTGTGATCCTCCATTTACAAGCTCGATTTAACACGTTTTTTTTTAAATAATGCTTTAATTGTACATGCTGGGCTTTCCACACTGGTTATCCTACATGTTTTTAAGTAAGTCGTTGTGTCTAACAATACGTAATGTCTTTATTGGGCTCAGACCTCTTCAACAAAATATTACAAAAATGCAGCAGAGGCCATTTTTTTTGTGCATTAAAATGTGCGGGGTGCAAACCCATTTATTGTAACGGACAAGATTTTGTAAGTTATCAGTAACACATGCTGTTTTTTCCTGTCATGATTTAGATCTGAACCTCGCAGTCATTGCCTCTTCAGTTCGTGCCTGCCTGATTCACCTGACTCGACTTCCTCTTTCTCTCACAATTCCTTTTTTTTTTTTTTTTACATTAAGTTGTAAAAACCGGCACCCGGTTGGTGGAAGTGTCATGGTTTTACGTCCTAGTCATCAAGACAGGTTGTAGGAACAATCGCATTACAAGACAAACCTGGAAATGTTTTACCTCAAAACCCAACCCTTTGGTATATTGTATGCAGTCTGTTAATACTTTGAGGACTTTCATTTGTCTTATTAAAACGCAGCCGTAAGCTCTGAAGTTACCGGTGGCTCTAGATGCAGGACGGTTATGACGTGTCGGTGTCAAAAAGTCAACCAGAGTGAGTGAGTTAAGAGCACCATCTTGGTGGAGCTGCTGTGCATGGCTTCACTGCACACGCTGATGAAGGCAGCTTCCCTCTAGAATGGGGAAGTAGATGAGGGCTGACCCAAGAGGCAGATGAAGGGGTATTTCTTTTTTGTTTTGAGCAGAGATAAACAGCAGGTTAAAAGTGGTCAGAGAGACTTGGATTTCTCAGAAAGGACAGGACCGGCCTGGATTTTAACAATGGAGGCATTAGACACTATGAGCACCTATGCTGTAAGTTTGTTTCAAGGTTTCCTCACGATGTGATGTGTCTGTGTGCTGCTGCATTTCCTGGCAGCACATGTGTGATGTCTTTCTGGTTAATTAGAGTGCTTTTTGAATTGTCACAGTGGCTGATGGGGCTTTCTCTGTCACTGTCACACAAAGCTAATACAATTGTCTTCAAGTTGACGCGTGTGATATTCACTCAGAGACGACAGACTTTTTTTTTTTTTTTTTTTGATACCTCGACTCGAATGCAGCATGTGTGTATTTGAGAGAGCGTGTGCCGAGGCAAATCAAAGAGAATATTCTTTAAGCTGAACATGGGAGCCAGAAAAAAAAAAAAAAGAGCAGTTTTGGTATTGGTGTGAGCATCCACCAGAGCTTCACTGTCAAACACAGCTGAAATAACTGACAGCCTCCTGTTTTTCAAAAATGTGTTATTTACCCTAATAGCTGTCGTTCGGATTGAGGTGTGGAGTAATCGAATTTTCCAGACAAAAACCACAGAAAAATGGGCATTTCTGAATATGTTTTTATTGTTGCAACTCTTATGAACAGAAAACAGAGTGGGCCTGGGTTTGAAAATTTAGCTTGAATATAAATAGTAACTGTTAGCCTTCCTGTGTCTTTTTCGCTTCTCTCTCTCTCTCTCTCCTTCTCTGTCTCTCTTCTTCCCTGTTTCTCTAGCTGTCACCCGATATCCTTTTTGGGAGCCACCAGAGGAAGACTGACTGTGGATGGAAGATAAAACAGGTGAGAGTCTTTCATCACCGGTGGACGTGAATTTCACGTCAAGAGAACATAATGATGACAACACAGGATGCACTTCTTTAGCCAATGCATAAAAACCCACACTTTCGGGAAATGACTGCCTAATGTGAGACTTTTTGGACAATTCATGAAATACTTGGACGGCCTTTTATTTCTTTTAGCCAAGCCTGATGTAGTTGTTTGTTTGTTGTTTGAGTATCACTCAGTCCTTTTGTCAGTCCTTAAGAGACTTTTGATGGATGGCTATTTTCCCCTCACTGAAATCAATGGACTTGAGTCATCACATTAGCAAAAACTACATCCTCAGCCTGTTCCAGCAGAATATGTTTAAGTGTCTGCCAGCTCTGCTCTTTAGACTTTTGGAGATCAGCATTTATGTACAGTGCGTTGAGCTGGTGAAAAAGCAGATCATGGTGTGAAAAAGAAAGAAAGAAAAAGCTGTTATCCATCCAAGCGGTTCTTACTGCAACATGTTGCATCACCGTGGGGTGTGGGTGCACTTGCTTTAAAGCCCTTCTTAGGAAAGAAGCAGAGTTGACTCTTACGTGCTAATCCCCCTCGCATGGGAAGAAGCTAAACATTAGAGGGATGTGTAGTCGTCTGATTGTTGAAACTAGGTTACAGGGATTCATGAAGGTGCCCAGTAGTGGCCGGGAGTTCACTGGCTGCGATTGAGTGCAGGCGTGCAAAGGATCGTAGACACGCAGGGTTTTTTTTTAATGTCCTGGTTCGCTGCGTCTCTCACAGTTTGTCTCAGCCTCTTCTGTGAAGCCAAGCACAGTAACAGGAGCTTTTCATGTAGGCATCTGTTAATGCACTCCTAAAGGGTGCCGATGCTTGAAGTCGCAGGAGTACCAGTGACTCCAAGCAGCTGCTACGTTCCACATGTGACGTTCATACAACTCAATGACAGTGTGTGTGTGTGAGTGTGTGTTGTTCCTCTTCCCCAAAAATGTTTGTGGATTTCAGTCATGTGTGTGTGTTGTTCCTCTTCCCCTAATATCCCCAAAAATGTTTGTGGATTTCAGTCATTACTGCGCGTCCTGACATTTCCTTATAGAACAGTGTTAGTCACCAACAGTTCCTGGCCATTCCATATTGGTTGTTGTCACAGTCAGCTTGTCAACTGCAGACTCTGACACAAGCTGCGAGACTGACCGAAGTAGAAGTAGAAGCCTCCACAGCAGGCTGCGTGTTGAAATGGTATTTAAAACTTGAGGCGAAATTAAACCTTTTGTGTACAAGGAACATGTGCAGCAGTTTAACATTTTTAATCTGATTCAAATCTGAATTTGCTGGTTCATTAACGCGCTTAAATGTGGTAAGTTTGACAGCCGTACTAATAACTTACTACTGTGCAGTACATTAATCAAAGTCAAAGTCCGAGTTTTGACGTCGTATGCTGCTAGGTACTTATAGTTTTCCTCCAACTAAACGTACATTTTCTCTCTCATTTGTTTGTCTCTTCTTCTCCGACCATGTCCCAAACACATGGCCCCCCCGACCTCATCAATCCCTGCTAAGGGCATGCAACGCGCCGCCTCGTCTGAAACCCTGAGCATGATGACATTCGGCAACTCCGATGCCCAGAACCACTCCACTGTCTCTCTCCATGAAGCCAAGCAGCCGCTCAGTCACTCGCAATCCATGATTCTGCCAGAGAACGGCAAGGTATGCACTCCCTCACTGAGAACGCACACACGTACACAGAAGTCCAGTGACTAAATGAGGAAACTTCAGAAGGACATTCAGCAGATGGGAACACTACACCACTCTGCATTCAGTTAACACAGACTAATCAGTACAGATGATGTCCACTCCCTGTCTTTCAGCTGATCCAACAGTGCAGAGATTATTCCTGCAACGTGACCAACATCGTTGTGGAGCCTCCCTCTCCTGACACCTCCCCAGAAAGTGATGGCAGCACACCGGTGAGGTCTTCCTGCATTTCATATATATATAAAAAAAAACAAAAAACAAAACTATCAATGCACATATAGAGTATCAAATTCTTCCTCCACCTACATCCTCACGGCCTGAATTCCTCTTCTTTTCTTATACCTTAAACGGGAGCAAACCACTGTGGGAGATATTTCAGAGCAGCTACTCTTCGACTATAATGTGAATGATGCAACAGTCATGTTAAAAGGATTCACTCAGGATGCAGTGTACTGCACTGAGGAAGAAAAAAAATCCCCCTCTGCTGTACTTTACAGTTAACACCACAACTTGTCTCCTCTTACCTTTGTTACTGTATAATGCCTTTTTGGAAATATGAATGCATCTCTTCTGCTCAGGAGTTGGAAAAAGCCGGACTTTTGAACAAGACCAAAATTGCAGAGGGAGGTCGGAAACTGAGGTGAGGCCGTAGGGCCAAAAAAAAAAAAACCCCAAAAAAAACACAAACACAAATGATATGAAGTCTGCTTTATTTCTTTGCTACACAAACACAAACGATATGAAGTCTGCTTTATTTCTTTGCTTCAATCAAGTGGTGAGTGAGCATGTGTGTGGAGTTGCAGGAAAAACTGGAGTCCATCCTGGGTGGTGTTGGTGGGGAACAGTCTGGTTTTCTTCAAAGATCCCAAGTCGCAGACACCGTCCAGCTGGGTGAGGAGTTATTTCTTATTACGTATTATTATTCTCATGTGATGTTTCCCAGAATGACAACACAGTTGGCTGCTTCTGGTTCCTCGTCTGCTTCTCCTTTATTAAGTCCATGCTATAAAATACCACAGAAGTGTATATTCTTTTTTTAACTTGACAAAGAGAAAATGTCTAAAGAAAACCCCCTGTGTTTTCTGTTTATTGTCACCAATCAACCCCAGAAACCAGGAAACAGTTGCCCAGAGAGCAGTGTAGATTTAAGAGGTGCACAGCTGCAGTGGACCAACGATCTGTCCAGCAAGAAGAACGTCTTCAAGGTAAGACATAGCAAACTAGACGGACTTTACGTCAAGAAAAGACCACCAATACCTATATCAGTATCAATGTCAGGCCTGAAAATGAGCCAATCCAATGACCCGGTACTTCTAAATGGCTTAGCACTAGAAGAGGTGCGTTTTTTGCTTAGTTTCATTGATATATTTTGTATCGTGAAAACAGTATCCACTTGGTGTCCTCAGCCTGAGTAGATGTCAAATGGACCAGACCAGGACAATCATAACATAATTAGCTGTAAATAAAACTAAGTCCACGTTTTTCTGCTTTGTTTTCATGCAGAGAAGTACAATTATATTTAAAAAATATTCATATACAATGAAATATCATTTGTAATGTCATCACGAACATGAAGTGTTTGCGCGTTTTTTTTCTATTTCAAAATTCATCAAGCGGGCCGGATGGAACTCGTTAGCAGGCCGATTTTGACCCACGGGCCGTATGTTTGGCACCCTTGATGTAGCCCATCACACTGTGTCCCACAGAGCTGTTCCCAACCGTATGACACTGCCTTCAATTTTTCTATAATTTATTAGAACACAAGCTAAAGAAGAATCGGTGACATCGCGGTAGTTCCGATCCAAGACCCATCGCGAAATGGGAAAAATCTCAAAGTAGAAAAATAGTATAAAATACATTCGAATTATCAGTGAAAATTCAGTGTACATGCACATGAAAAAGTCAATGTAATTTTAAATCAGGAAAAAACAGATACGACGCAGAGAGTCATAGAGATATTCTAGGATGAAGATGACGATGATTTTGCTGTGCGCTAATGTATGACGATGATGATGATCGTCAAGAACATCGTGATCACATATCTTCGGGGAGTTCTCGCTTCTCGATCGAGAGCAACAGCGATGCCTTGGGCCTGGATATTTTCATCTTGCAATGAGTTTAGACACACCTTTACAAAGAAGGTGACTACCCCCTGCTGGTGGATTTAGGATTGCTGTTTTAATGCTTAAGTAGAGTAAAATTTTCTCGCTAAGACCGATGATCTTTCTTTTACACACCCAGTCATGACATGACCTCTTTTCATCCCTCCTCACCACGATACAGGCAAACACGCGCTCAAAAAATGCGATGTGCCATCGAGAACAAAAATAGCAACAACTGCCTGATTCTGGAGGCGCGAACAACAACAACAGTGCCCTCCTGTGTCCAACTTAGGTCATTATACCTACGTTAATGAAATGCTCACCATATGCTGTACATGTTTTCCTTTTCCATTACCCTATATCAGTACTTATCAAATAGTGGGGCGGGCCCCCCTGGGGGACGCGGTGAGAGGCTTCCAATGGAATATGGACATAAGTGTACCACTGCTGTAATGCTTGAATGATAACAAGCCTCCAGTCACTAGGGGGCAGCAACTCATACAGTGGTTTGTACAGATAAAAATGTACATGTTATCAGGTTCTCAATGGTATTTCAATTCGCAGGGGTGTGGGTCGAAGTGGGCAGGAGGGAGGGTGTAAAAACATTTGTCGCCCCAAGGGGGAGCATGACAGAGAATAATTGAGAACTACTGCCCTGTATGTATGTGTGTGTTTTTCCCTTTTTAGCCTGGCCAGATTATTATTTTTCATTTCCGTCAAATATTGCGATATAGTGAAAATGTTGCGAGATCGGATTTAAAAAAAAATCTGCAATGTACTGAAGGAGCGAAAGGAGAACCGCGATACAGAGAGGGAACACTGTAGTTTGTTGTAGAGTAAAAGTCATTTACCTTCTTTCTTTGGGTTTGTGAAAAAGAGAAACAAGAGTAATGATAAAGGACAATATTACCATAATCATTTTAGCTGTTTGTAATTTGGAGTGTTGTACTTGCTGTTTTAGTACTTAACTGGTACATGATCATATATTAGTGGCTCTAACCTTTCAGTCTGAATGGAGTTTTTTAATCCAGAGGGGAAGCACAGATGAACCTACTTCTTTTTTTATCAACCTTCAGTTAGTCACAGGAAGTAACAGAAATAAGAAAAAATAAAATTGAACTAAAGCATTGTGAAGAACCCCCAAAACTTCCAGTCTGTGACAGCGGACTCAACAACTGTGAAATGATTTTAGTTTCAAATCTTTATGTTTTCAGCTGAGGACAGTGACAGGGAATGAGTTTCTGCTGCAGTCGGAGACGGACTCTGTGATCAGAGAGTGGTTCAACACCATTCACAAGGTCATCGATAAGTTGGTGAGAACAGATGAACACACACACATGACATACACAGTTTAAACTGAAGTAGTAGAGATCTTCCAGATTGTTGGTGAGATGATGTCATACACCCTGACTCTGTCTCAGCTTTTTTTTTTTTTTTTAATGTTATAGGCATCATTCTTAAGCAAGGTCTAGGTTTAACCAAAGTAGTTATGCTCTGTACAAAGTGATCCAGAATAATGGAGGCCAAAACTGGACATTGAAATGAAAAAAAATGTCCATGCTTTGGAAAATATTTTTGTTAATTTTAATAAACCGTCTTTTAATAAAGATCGCACATTTCAGTCTCAACAGCAGATGGAAATTTACAACAGCATCAGTCGTGGTTAATCCTGAAGTATACATTTGTGTTTGGAAACGCAATTCCAATGTATTAAATGAATAGACTTTGTGTCTCTTTAAAAATAAAGTTATACATAAAAACCCAACACATTTGATCCTCATCTCATCTCCGTGTCGTCCAGGATCGCGAAAACCCACTGGATAACGTCCTGCTGTAAATGGAATTCCAACGTATTAAATGAATAGACTTTGCGTCTCGGCTGATAAATAATTTTAAATTAAAGTTGTACATAAAAACACATTTGATCCTCCTCTCATCTCCGTGTCGTCCAGGATCGTGAAAACCCACTGGATAACGTCCTGCTGTACTCTCTGAGGAGAGCAGGTAGTCTGGAGATGCTGGACCAGAGTGGAGATGAGGATGAGAAGAGAACGTCTTGTAAGTCATCACCTCGTCATCTCATCGATCCATTATGGCTCTCACACACGTTTCAAAGGCTTTCCTGCTTTCTACTCCGGCGTACGACTGTCGCTGCCATCGTGACCATCGTGGTGACTTCTTCTGTTCAAACTTTCATACAGGCGCCTTAGATCCTTCTATTTTGTCCTCCGTCATTACCGCCCTTCAGCCTACATGTATTTTCACCTGCCCCCCACGGCACGGCATCCCTCCTTCAGTTCAGTCTCACCCGCATCTTCGACCGGCCCTGCCACTTTTCATTCTCACCACCATTCCCTCTCATCTGCTCCTCAACCTGACGTACAAACACCCGGCATTGACCTCCTCTTCCTTCTCCTCTTCCTTCTCCTCTTCCTTCTCCTCTTGCGCTTCTTCCTCTTCTTCCTTCCTCTTTCCTCCCTTTGTAGTCCCTCGCTCGTTGTCCAATCTGGAAAACACAGAGAGGAAGAGAGCCAAGAGTCGGTTGAAGAAGCTGATCCTGAAGCGACCTCCTCTGCAGGCTCTGCAGGAGAAAGGCCTCATTAAAGGTGAATTTAATTTTTCTACGTCAGTGCGTTTGTACCTTTCTGCACCAGATTTCTAAATAGTTGCGTTTTGTTTTTTAGATATAATTCAAAGACAATTTTTGAATGATGTTGTTCAGTCCTTTTTGACTTTTCTTGCAAGGTTCCAACCTCTGGTAGACTCTCCCTCATACCCAGTGAGGGTTGGCATGTCCCAATTATTTTACATTATAAGTTAAACAGTTATTTATTATTAATCTAATATTATAATATTTCCGAAATTTTAGGTCAGTGATTCCAGGTGTGAGCTGGAAAATGATCCCCTTTTTTCTTAATTGGTTTGTTCCTCTCTGCCAGAGATTCCCAACCACTGTGCTGTGGCACACTAGTATGCCGTAAGAGATCATTGGGTGTGCTGTGGAAAATCACTTAATTGGGCTGAAAACTATTGTTTATTTATTTCATATAATTTGTCTTTGCTCGTCAAAGCAGGAAAGGCAAAACAATTAAAAACTCTCCAGCTAGGTGGCAGCAGAAGGCTATGAAAACTTAAAAAAAAGATGTCTTTCTTCAATTCCTGCCAGTATATCAGCGTTGTCTTCAACTAAACAGGAGTACATTTTTAGTACATTTAAACTAGAAGATTAGTGTGCCATAGTGCATGTACTTTTTGTGAGATTTTTGTATGGTGGTGTGCCATAGTATTTGGCCTGATGATATATATGTGCCGTGGCTCAAAAAAAGTTGGGAAACACTGCTCTATGCAAGTGACAGGTAGAAACAATAATTAACTTCCACTAGGTGGCAGCAGATGGCTAGGGAAACACTGCTCTGTGCAAGTGACAGGTAGAAATAATAATTAACTTCCACCAGGTGGCAGCAGATGGCTATAAAAACTAAAACAAAGAAAGATGCAAAACTGTTTAAAGAATAGCTTTGTCTGTCTTTCTTCAATTCCTGTGGATAGATCAGTGTTGTGTCCAACTAAACAGTCATTTCCTATATTTTTTTGGGACATTCTTCTAAGGCGCCTCAGTGTGGATTTTACTCATTTGAAATATGTGACAAGGTTGTGAAGCGTTGATCAGGTTATGTTATGTTTAGGAGAGTGTAAATAGGGCGTATACCATTATTCACTTGTACCATACTCTGGTGTGGGTTTTTTTTTTTCTTCACTATAAGTTATGCAGCACAGGGGCTGCATTGCATCATGATATGTGAGCCTACGTCTCTACAGGGACTCCAATATACAGGCTTCCCTGCACAGTGAACTGTAAATTTCTCCGTGCGTTAATTCAACATGGTGTCTGTTATCTGTCTTCAAACAAAGGCTAAGAAGTGGAACGTTAAACAAGGATTTCTTCCTGTTTGGCTCTTTGCTCTGCAGATCAGGTGTTTGGCTGTGGTCTGGAGATGCTCTGTGACAGAGAGAAGAGCACCGTCCCTCGCTTTGTCAGACTCTGCACTGAGGCTGTGGAGAGGAGAGGTACAGTTACCGTGATTGAAGTGACAGGAGAGCTAGTGGGTGGGGAAGTTTTTAAAGAGTTTTGAAAATGAATTTTTTTAAAAAAAAGATACCCAAATAACATTGATTATATAAACTGAATAATGGAATTTTCGTTGTTAAATATTCATGTTCGGTGTAGCTGCAGGTTAATATAATGTTTTAAAGTTGTCGCAGTGGAAATTATAGAGGACAAAATGGCACTTGTTTCTTTTTTAACATTGTTATATCAAATCAAATGTTGTGGATAAATGGTTTTTGGTTGTTTTGAGATGTCTTTTCCTGAGCATAATGAGGGCCTATATCAAATAATTATCTAATAATTTGGCACGGCCTGACTAATTCTGGAAAATTATGGAATCTCTTAATAGCTAAAAAAAAAACAATAAAATTCACTCAACCCTACTGGAGTTAAAAACAAAACGAAAAACTCTATTTTTTGGAGTTGAGGGTCAATGGTAAAAAAGTTGTAAAAGAATATGCATCAACATGCTAAGTGCTAAACGCTAATGCTAAAGATGTGGAAATAGAAGAAGTAGAACTGAAAACTCTAACTCTATTAAGAAGTCCAGGAGATGAAAATAGAATCTTTATCTGTATCTATGTTTAATCTTCGTTCAAAATGTACTTCCTTTTTGCGTTTCATGCTGCAGGATTGGACACCGATGGTATTTACAGAGTGTCTGGGAACCTGGCTGTGATCCAGAAGTTGCGATACTTGGTGAACCACGGTGAGGAGGATGACAGAGGGGGGAGGTTTAAAGCTGAATAATGTGTGAAGATCGTGATAAGAAACAGAGAGGCGGCGGAAAATCACGCCATTAACTGTTATCTGATTGGTCTTTTCCAGAATCACGACAAATGCCTTCTGATAGGGTTAATTAAAAATATGGAAAACACTTCACATAGACACATTTGTTCTTCACACGCACACACACACACCCAGCTGAGTAAAGATGATTGTTGGTGTTTACAGAGAGAGCGGTGACTACAGACGGCCGTTACATGTTCCCAGCCGGGTTGGTACAAGGTAGATGGAGACGGACGTGAAGAACCTTTGCTTTCATGGTTCAGTCGGCCTGCTTGATTTTTGCATTTTGTGTTGTGCAATTTAAAAAAAAAAAAACAAACAAAACACCACACGCACATACACGCACAGACTGACATGCAAGTCTGAGGCTGTGGTGCAGACGTGCAGAGAAGATAGAAAGTTTCTGTGCTTTTGCTACCATTTGCTTAATGTATGTGTGTGTCCCTAAGGCTCTGGTGCTTTCACTTTTCTGATGAAATAACGCAGAGATGGCTGTACAGAAGGTTCTCACGGTCCGTGGCTGCCATCCAGTGGACAGAAGTGGAGAATCAGCGTTGCGTGTGCGCTTCTAAAGCATTCTGCTGCCGTGTCGTTTCTCACTAACATTGATGTTTGTGCTTTTGTTGGACGGAGCCATTAATGACCAGATGTCATATTAAATCCACAGATTTTTGTTTTTCCTTTTCCCCCTGAGACCTATGTTATTGGTTTGGCTGTTTATGTCTGTTATAGCTACTCACTATGTGGAAAAAAAAATAGGGACATTTTTAAAGAGCTATTTTGAGATTCCAGATTCAGTTTAGTTAAGATTAAATTAAGGGTCGGATTAGACCTAAGGATATAGAGCATTATTTTGTAAAATGTTGAAAAAAAAAAAAACAACAGGTTTTTAAATGTCTGTTTCTGTGTGTGTGAGTAAGGGTCCCCTTTAACATTCCATCTCTGTCTTCCTGCTGCAGCTATAAGCCTTTTTGTTCTGCCTCGGCGCTAATTTGAATTTGCATTCTGTTCAGTTCACGTTGGCGTTCACGTGAAGGTTCTGTGCTCACGTCTGTCTGAAGTTCTGTCTCGGTTCCTTCTCCCAATCACAGAGGAGAAGCTGAATTTGGACGATGGCGAGTGGGAAGATATTCACGTCATCACTGGAGCTTTGAAACTCTTCTTTCGTGAGCTTCCAGAGCCCCTGGTTCCCTACGGGTTCTTCACAGACATCATGGAGACAATCAGTAAGTGAGCACTTTTAGGCCCAACGCTTACTCACTCATGTATTGTTAACCGTCATTATTTAGGATGTTAATGATAACCATGACAACTTTATATGACCAGAGGAGGATTATAGCGCCCTCTAAATGTGAAGGTGCAAGTACAACTGCAAAATGTCAGAAAAACCTCTAGTAAAATTAAATTGAAACTCAAACTTAAGGTTCGGTCATTTTCTGCCAACAAACTTGGGCTGTTCTTTGTTCTTAGAATTAAAGAAAGTCAGCCATAGATAGAACCTGCTGCTCAATGTGCATGGGCTCCGAGTTAGTACATGGCACAGTTTTTTTTTTTCATGATAAACAGTTTTAACATATGTCAGTTTGAATTGTGTTTTTTAAAACGTATCATCTTTCGCGTGGGAAAAAAAAAAACCCAACTCTCCATATTAATAGAAAAAGTAATTATATAGCTGCTCATGTTGAATTTATTGAGCAAAATCAAGATAATAAAATTCAACAGTGATTTACTGGAGAAATTCACCATCTTAAATGAATGTTGACAACGTTATTTAGAGGATAAGTCTGTTTATTTTTATTTATACGCTCGCTGTCAACTGATCCTAAAAAAAGAATAAAGCTGACACCGCGTTTGTCATCGCTATTCTCACTTCTCTACCCTCCCAGTGGCTGAGAGAGCCCAAACCCATGCAGCCATACCAAAGACATAAATCCTTTTTTTTCCCCTTTGTTTTTTAAAGCCAATCTTAAATAAAGCTAGTTTAGAAATTTTAAAACACAGTTGTGTAGCTTGGAGTGTTGATAAAGATAAAAGAGATTATTGATTTTCTGTAATTCGTTTATCATCGGCCTCTACTTGATATCAAGAATGAATGAATTTTTGCTCTTGAGGATTAAAAAAAAAATTATGTTCAATTCTTTTGTTTGTTCAATTCTATTCATTTGCATCTGATGAATTAAACAATACTTAATACTTATTAAACAAAAATAAATCTTTTCATAAAATGTCAGGGTTTTTTGTATTGAGTATCAAGAAGTGATGTGGCCCCCTAGTGGAAAGACTAAAGCACTGAAACTCATTTCTCTGGCCTTGTGCCTGATGAATAAAAATTGAACTTTTTATAGCAGTGTTTAAGACGCAACATGACTTTTGGTTTTCATTATCTTAACTACCCCATAACATATTAATACATGTTTCTGTAATTGATTATTATTTTTACTTACAAATATTGTTATATTGCTCTGTTTATTAAAAAAAAAAAACCTTTAATTTATCAGGTTAAGAAACTCTCTTTTTGAGTTCCGCGGGCCATACAAAACAACTTGGCGGGCCACATTTGGCCCACGGGCCTTGAGTTTGAAAATGAAATAACCAATTAAAATGTATCACACATTATCAACAATTAAAAATGTTTTTCTTTGTAAATTTTAATTTAGAGATTGTATCATCAGCAGTGACGTTTCTTGTCCATGGCTTCCACTGTGTCAAATCACATTGATCATGGTTTGATTTCAGTGACAGGCTGTAAATCATGAGCTCAAAGATAACAAAGGACTGCAAATACACACGCAAACCTTAATCATCATCTAATGTCTCTCTTGATTGTCTGTCTCCGTCTCAGAAATGTCAGACCACATGGACAAAGTGGACCGTTTAAAGTGTCTGGTGCTGAACATGCCTCCTCCGAACCATGACACACTGCTCTTCATGTGCCGCCATCTCAGACGGTGAGAGGGCGGGGCCAGAACCATGTGCAGCCAATTTCTGCTCTTCTATCAGCCTGCTTGTTCCCATTTGGCATGAGAGAGATGAACCAGATGACCGTGTAGCCAAATGAAACACGCCGCCTTTTCGCTTTCTGTGTTGTCGTGTGACCACAAGGTGGTGTCGTTTCCCTTGTTGTTCTGGGTGATTTCTCTGTCAGTTTGGCTCTGAAAGTTTGCCAGGGCCGTACCAGGATAACACTGTTGTTAAGTGTGGGTCTGTGTGAAGATGAAAAGGCTGGAGGAAGATGAATGGCGTACCATGTTCTGCTCGCCAGTTCCTTCTACAGTACATAAAATGTGTGTTTTTTACCGCTTATGGTTTTTTCCCCCTTCTACTTCAGGGGTGAGCGTTCGTGTTCTGAGGCTGATGTTTGTGCCAGGGTGTGGTGGGCCCCATGAATTTGTCAACTCTGTGTCTTTCTCTCATTTTCTCTCTGCTCTGATTCCTGTCCCCCCCCCCTCCTTGTTCTGTTTATCATTTATTTTCCTCTCTGCTAAATCACGTCTGTCGCCGCCTCCGTTGCTGGCTCTCGACCATTGTTTCTTTACAACCTCTTTATCCTCTTCCCCTCTTTTTTTTTTAACGTTGCCCCTTCCTCTTCCTCCCTTCTTCCTCCATTATCCTCCATCACCTCCCTCCTCTCGTCCCCCCCCCCCCCCCCCCCCCCCCGCCCCCCCCCCCCACTCCCTTGCTCTCCTCCTTGCCTTGAAGGTCCCATGGGAGCCTTGTGGTTCGTCTGCTGGAAGGAATACCAACACCACCGCCGCCACCACTGGAACCTCTCTCTTTTCTCTCCTTCACCCTCTTTCTTTTTTTTCTCCTCTCCTTCTCTCTCTCTCTCTCTCTCCCTCTGTCTTTCTCTCTCTCTCTCTCTTTCTGTGTCTCTCTTTTTCCTCTTCCCTTTTAATGTGGAAGTTTTGAGCAATTGGCTTCTCCTGTGGCTTAGTGGGAATGGCATTTTTAGAAGAATGCCTCATGCCGTGGCTTTTAACCCATTCCTGAGTCCCATCTGATCACACACTCACACACACACTCACACACAATGGTCCTGTGAGCACTTCACATAAACTTAATGCATTCCATATCCCCCTTAACTTAACCTTAACCATCACAAAGATGTGCCAGTCCCAGTGCTTACCTTCACTTTAATCTTATACCTTATATCGATCCTGAATCCAAAAACCTCAAAAAGCACTCAATCAGGGCTGACCTGTAAAATGTCCCCACAACGATGAGTGTCCCCAAAACCACAGTGGACACTCGTAAAAATGTCCCTGTGAGTATCCGTGTGCGGAAGACTTTAGAGCCACATGAACATGTGTAGTCACAATGTAAAATATGGAGGTACACAAAGTGGCTCCTCGGACACAGTGCGTTCAATTACGCTTTGAGGTATGCTAACTTCAGCATGCTAACAGCAGCGTGCTAACGTGCTGTCGTTCTTGGTTATTGCAATCTTAGTCACTTCAACAGTTTAGTCGGCATTTAATGGGACATTGTTGACCACTGCGTCAGAGTCTAATTTGTCTAATTACAGTTGCCGCAGTTACTGATGTTAGACTTTGTCTTCTTTACCCGAAAAAGTTAGTCCAGAGGTATTTTGGGAATTGGTGCTTAAGACCTACCCTAGAAGTCTGCCATTTCTGGATTTATTCAAAACCATTATATTCTTAACTTAATAGTTATAAGAAGTAAACACAATAATTCAATTGAACTTGATGAAGGGTGGTACACTTTACAAAAACGATTTCACGTACAAAAAAAAAAAAAAATTCGAACATGTGCAATCACAGAATCAAATGTCTAAGCTCTTCAGATGAGCAAAGACATTGTTTACTGTTCAGCCGATAAATTGAATTTTGAACTTAACATGCAAAAAAGGATGACTCATTGGGTTTTGTTTTGAGTAACATTTAAAAACAGATATGCTAATGGGATGGCGGACTTTTCTCACTCTACTGGAAACTTCTGCCCTTGGCCTTTGTACTCAAAGACACTCGTCGGAGAAAACTGTTTCCAACGGGTTTGTAAACCCCGAGAGTGATCACAGTCACAGGGAAGCTGTAAAACCTGTTGATGTTGAAATCATACAGGTTGTTATTGTGTTGAGCTGTGGTGAGAAGAGACTCAAAATACGATTCTTTTCCTGGCTACTTCATTTAATACACAAATGTACCGTATTTTTCGGACCATAAGTCGCACCTTTCTTTTCATCCTTTCGCTGGTTTTGCCACTCGTATATTAAAATATATAATTTCACGTTTGTTATTTTCACACGGATAGCCACTAGAGGGCACTCTAGGCTTTTGTCCCAGTATCTGCTACTCCTGTGCTACTGAAAATTTACATGTTTGTTATTTTTACACTGACAGCCACTAGAGGGCACTGGTGCGACTTCGGAGCAACTTGTATGTTTTTTTTTTTTCCTCTTCATTATCAATTATTTGGCTGGTGCGACCTATACTCTGGAGGCACTTATAGTCCGGGAAATACGGTAATGCACCTTGAGAATCTCAGAAGGTTTTAAAGGACCATGCTAAAGAATGTTGCCACCAGAAATTGATGTGATTTTTGCGCAAATGTCAAACTCTGTCTGCAGCTGCTTCTGTTGCCGATGATGGCGGTTAACGTGAAAGTTGTTGTACCTAAAACTTTCCACTCGTTTGTTTGCTGCAGAGTCTTGGAACACTCAGATTCCAACAGAATGACCACACAGAACATCGGCATTGTCTTTGGGCCGACCCTGATGCGCCCAGAGCGGGACAACGGCAACATGGCGGTGAATATGGTTTACCAGAACCAGGCGGTGGAGTTCATCCTCAGCGAATTCGACCACATCTTTGGGACGAGAGGCCGCTCTTGATCTTTTTGGACATGGTTTTGGCGATGTGGTGTGATGTGACGGGGGGGCGTTAAAAAAAAAGGCTCCTGCAGATCAGACGAAGACACAAGTAGTGCAGTGTTTGTCCCCGATGCCTGTTGACTCATATGGTGTAAAATGGATTTTCACATCAAACGATAATTACGGGGTAAAAAGAACCAGGACAGAAAGCTGCTAATCATGACATCTGGCCTCCATATAAAGCCATGTGAAAACAATAATAGTCAAACAAGCCAACTTAAGCTGCAATACTTGTGCCTTTGACTGCAGATGTGGATGCCAGCCCCAGTGTTCTTCGCTGCGTGAACAGACGCCCCCTTGTCAATTTCCCTTCATGTCTCGGACTCGATCATGACAATTGAAAGGTCATAAAAGTGATGAATGTCCCGCGGCCTGTTCGACCAAGCTTTGTACGGATCGGATATTTATCAAACAAATGTGAGGAGGAATGTTTTTGGGGTCGCAGCGCTGAAATAAAACCCCGCGGAACCATTTCACGGTGAGCGCTAGCTTGTAGCGACGAGGATTTGGAGCAAAGACGCAGTGGAGCTGATGCAACTGCAGGGGAAGACAATGAGTTAATGGATCTTTTGTAAAAAAAAAAAAAAAATGAAAAAAAATTGAGAAATAATAGTCAAGTTAAAAGCATCAAATTTTCCTTTGTAGATGACAGAGTGGAGTACCGTTGCGTGATTTTAGCCCGTTAACAGTTTCCTTTATTGTACAAATTGAAAACGTTAGTATTTTTTTTTACTCCTCGGAAATGGTTAGGAATCTGAAGTTGTAAATATGTGAAATAGTGTGTTGGTCAACTCGTAGCACTTTGGGTACAGTCTGTTAACTAACCTTTGATATATCACAGCCAAGCGTTCGCAGAAGCATTCGCGCCGCACGGGGCAGCGTGGTGTTCAGATAAATCTATACTGGGACCTGATCGTTAACTCTCCTCCAATAAAAACGGCAGAAACCTGAGGTTGACGCCCTGTGTCGCGTGTCACTCCTCGGACGTGTGTCCGTCAGGTCGTTTGTGCCCAGCGAGGGGTTTGCACGTGAGATGATGTGAGAGAGTGGAGGTATGTGGGCGTCCCAGAGAGTCGGCGGTTGAAGGCGACTCCTGTGATTGGTGCAAATGCTGCTTTTAATAACAGAACAAAAGAGGAACTAGAAATGCATATGTTTGAAAAAAATGTGGAATTTCCCCCAAAAAAACCTTCTCACTCTCTCTCTCTCTGTGGCTTTGGTCATTTTTACATTGACTGTGGGTTTGGCAAAAGACAATACAG